CTATATATATATATATATATATATATATATATATATATTTGATACAAGTAACAATTCTTTTACGTTTTCTTATTTACTCGAACAATTCTTCCAACGATGTAAAAATAGACGTCGAGTTAAAAATAAGCTAAAGGACAAATTAGCGTCGTAGCGACAAGGAATAAGAATAATTCTTCGCGCAACGATTCTTTTTCAATTCAAACTCGATCGATTATTCGAGCGATATTTCTCAATATCGAGTTAAAAATAATTCGAGAAAAAAACGAAGGTTTTAATATTATATTATCGCAACGGAACGAAAGGCGAGAAAGAGTGGTACGAGAAGGTAAAAAAAAGAAAAGAAAAAGAGTCAGCAAGCTCGCGGATCGAAGACGCGCGATAAAATTATCGCGGATCGTTCGAGGGCGTGAGAATGAATAATTACTTGAAAAACAATTTTATTGCGCGCCTCGTTCGCCTCATTTTCACGACAATCGTGACCAAGATAGCCGTGATCGAAGGTTGTCACACTTTTGAAACCGCGTACGTTCCTGCACTCGTACGTTGGATCGTGTCACGCGCTTTTTCTCCCCTCCCCCTCGCGAGAAATTGCCAGGAAAAATGCACGGAATCTCGGTGCACAAATGAATGAGTGACGTCGCGACTCGTAATTATAGAGATCGGCGCGTGCAATCGCTCTTCCGAAACGGTGTGAAACCGTTACTCGTGGTTCCATTTAACAACGAAGAAATTCGCGAGAAAATGATTTCTAAATTATCTACTCGAAACGTACGATTCACGAGAGAAGAAGGGAAAAATTGGAGGAGGAATCGAAAAGATATTCGAAAAAAACCCTATAACAGCCGCGTGGTTCCATTTAATCAGATATTCGCGAAGAAATTCTAAATTATTTCTAAATTATCTAGAGAGGAGGGAAAAACTGGAATTGAAAATATCGAAAAGATATAAAAGAAATTCGCGAGGAAATGATTTCTAAATTATCTACTCGAAACGTACGATTCGCGAAGAAGGAGGAATTGAAAATATCGAAAAGATATTCGAAAAAAACGGTATAACATCCGCATGGTTTAACCATTTAACAACGAATCAGACGTCCTCGAAAAAATTCACGAGGAAATGATTTCTAAATTATCTACTCGAAGCGTACGATTCACGAGGGAAAGGGAGGAATCGAAAAAAATATTCGAAAAAAACCCTATAATAGCCATATGATTTGATCATTTAACGGCGAATCAGATGTCTGCGAAAAAATTCACGAGGAATATCTACTCGAAACGTATTCGATTCACGAAGAAGGAAAAAAGGAGGAATTGAAAATATCGAGAAGATATTCGAAAAAAAAACGGTATAAGAACGGCGCGGTTTAACCGCGACGATTCCAATTAAGCGATAACGATAGCGATAGCGAGATCGTAGGGAGATAATGGCGGTTAGCATCGTGGAAGATGGTGGCGCGATGGAAACGTCACGGTCGTGCCCTCCGGCCTCGTTGACGTAATTGGTTATTATCACGGCGAAGTGTGTCCCCCATTAGTGGGTTACCGGTGTACACACTTGGCCCTGTTAGTGCGCATTAGCGTGCACCGGTGGTGGCGCGCACACAAACCGTGGCCGCACGTGCTCCGCGAAGCGAAACGATCCACGAAAAAAAATTAGAACGACTAACGAGCTCGTGTTGTTAACGAGAATGGGATAATAGTTGAGAACCTGCATGGGGCGAAATCTAACGTATCGCGAATGATTGCTTCAATGGATAATTTCGGGCCACCAGCTGTTGTTGTTTTATTATTACGAGAGGAGCACGGTCGGTTGCACGCTCGATGATATCTCATCGGATCGATTTAACGACGAATGGGGCTGGGACTGATTCGTTCGATGCAGCTTCGAACAGAATGGATCTTTACGAAAGTAAAAAATGTAACGAGAGAGGTTAAAGGTTGAAATGTTGGTATAATTTTTTCTTCTTCTTCTTCTTCTTCGAATAACGGGAACAAGGAACAGCGGTTAATTATAATTGGAAAACGATCCGAAAAAAGTCGAATGTCTGAATCAACCGCGTTCATGGTCCGCGCATTTTCAAATCTCATCGAATATGCGCGTCATCTTCGTACGATACGAATGCTACGAGCGCCTGTGTAAACATAGCCTTTATGAATTCTCATAAACTCGTCAAGGTTCGCCAACGAAGCCTGACCAACGGATCGGTAACTTTCTTTCCATCGTCGACATCGATTCCCGGCGAGAATTCGAACAGTCAACCTTGCATCCTTCGATGCCAACGTAAAAAAAAAAATCGATCGATAAGAGAGAGAGAAAATTACCTTTTACTGGTAAACGAGGAATCGATTTTTCTACGGGTGTGACGTTTCGATCTTTTCGATCGAAAAGGTGAAAGTGGAAGGAGAATTTGATTCGAGATAGCAAAGGGATGGAGAGAAACGAGAAGAAGAAGAAGAAGAAGAAGAAGAGGAGAAGCGGCAAACGAGGAGAGACGAGCCGCGGCGAATGTGTGTATACGTGACTCAATGCTGATCGACGATCCTCGATCTCGTTGAGAAGTAGGAGGAAAAGGCTAGGTAAAAGAGAAAATGGTAGGGATAAAGGCGGGCGAGGAAGGTGCGTTGACGTCACTGGGCAAGCTCGCTGCTCGCTACGACGCTGGTTGCCAACGCGATCGCAGTTTCACGAGGTTTCAACCGAGACCTCGCATCTCCTCCGCCCTTTTTCCATCGTTCAACGCGGTTCCAATCCTCCCAACCCGGCTCG